AGCAGGGCGCGCCCGCCTGCCTGCGCGGGCCGGCTCGCCACGGTGCCCTGTGAGAAGCGAGAGGGAGCGGGAGGCGGCGGCCGCGGGGAGGAGGGCGCTGCCATCGTCCTGCTGCACGGCAAGGCCAGCTTGGCGAGCCTGGCCATGGCTGCCATCCGCAAGAAGCTGGTGGTGGTGGGGGACGGTGCCTGTGGCAAGACTTGCCTCCTCATCGTCTTCAGCAAGGACGAGTTCCCTGAGGTCTACGTGCCCACCGTCTTTGAGAACTACGTGGCGGACATAGAGGTGGACGGCAAGCAGGTGGAGCTGGCCCTGTGGGACACGGCTGGCCAGGAGGACTATGACCGCCTGCGTCCCCTTTCCTACCCGGACACCGATGTCATCCTCATGTGCTTCTCCGTGGACAGCCCGGACTCGCTGGAGAACATCCCGGAGAAGTGGGTGCCCGAAGTGAAGCACTTCTGCCCCAACGTCCCCATCATCCTGGTGGCCAACAAGAAGGACCTGCGGAACGACGAGCACGTGCGGAACGAGCTGGCCCGCATGAAGCAGGAGCCGGTGCGCACCGAGGACGGCCGGGCCATGGCCATCCGCATCCAGGCCTACGACTACCTGGAGTGCTCGGCCAAGACCAAGGAGGGTGTCCGGGAGGTCTTCGAGACTGCCACCCGGGCAGCCCTGCAGAAGCGCTACGGCACCCAGAACGGCTGCATCAACTGCTGCAAAGTCCTATAGGGCGTGTCTGGAGCGCGGCGCTGGGCACAGCGCCCGGGTCACCTGTTGGCAGGTGCAGAGGAGCTGGGTTATACGCACACGGCATCTGCCTGTCCCCTCCGCTAGGGACTGGCTGTGCATGGGGTGGGGGCTAAGGGAGGGAGCACGCTCCTTGAGCCTTGGCCAAAAAGGGTTGTGCTTGCTCAGCCGCGGGGACGGAGGGAGGGGGGGATTGCATGCCCTGAATCTTGGGAATAAAGTGGGGAGAAGCCTTCTCCTACCGCTGGCCCCTGCGAGTTAGTCGTGGACTCAACGACAAAAAGCTGCTGAGACTGGACTGAGCAAACCTTGCACCCGGTTCTGCCCCTTTGCCAACACCTGCTGCTTCCTGCTCCCGGGCAGCCTCCTCTCTTTTGCAAGAGGAGGGCGGTGGAGCTGAGATGCTCGAAGGGACTTCTGCCTCCTGCCTGCATGTGCCTCCACCCAGGCGAGCTGGGGAAAGGGGCTGCCTCTCCCAGGCTGCCTGCAGCATCCTTGCTTCTCCCTCACATGTTTCAGCCTGAGCCTGACCTGCTGTGGAAGTTAGCGCCCTGAAGACCGAGACTGGGAGGGGAGGGGAGGGTCATCCCAAGCAAAGCCTGTATATATGTTACCTTTTTTGTCTTGTGCAAACTGGGGTAGTACAGGGGGTGCTTATTTAAAGTGAGGTGGGGAGGGGGTGCCCAGGTGGGACTTGTGTTGTGCAAAGGAACTTGCCCTGAGTGACTGATGCCTGCTGATAACAGGAGCCATGAACTGACTCCAGCTGCAGAAGCCACCAGGCCAGAAAGTAAAGCTGAACTGTCCTGCTTGCTGGATATCCACCTCCTGACAGATGAGGCAGGATGAGCAAGGGGATGATATTGCCATATTATGATTTTGGTGCCTGCTCCTTACTTTTGATGTTGTCTCCTGCAAGTGTGTTGATTTGGGTTTATTTAAAAGTTTATTTTCAAAAGATGTTACTTTGCACAACTCGGTGGAGTTTTTAATGTTTAAATTAAACACTCAATGCGCTCATCTGCATACAACACTGTAGCATTGGAAACATTCTTACTCGGTAACCTCATCTGGGTCTTGTTTAAAACTGATTTCAACACAAGACAAAATAAAACCACTGTATTATTTTTGCCTTGGAAAAAAAAAAAAAAGGGTGAAAGCACTGTTACTTATGCAGTGAGTACATCAGACTTTAGTACTAAAGGGCAGTTTAAAGAATCAAGGTTTATTTAAAACTTATTTTCACAAGGTGGCCAGCCTGGGTGAAAATAATTTTCTGTTTCTCTGGTTCAGAGAACAAATGTATCCATTTATGTTTGTTTACTTTATTCCCTCTTCCCTCAACAGTGGTACTGAGACTGTTTTTAATAAACTGACATGGCAAAAACTGAGATGTATATGATGTTTACATAAAACTATAGTGTATGCAGTTTTTTATGTAAAGTATTAAAAGATTCTATGCTGACACTTGTGAGACCAGTGTTGTGATTCATGGAGACTGTCCTCTGGATATTATTGAACTAGACCAGAGTTTGCCCCTTGCCTACACATGCTTTTA